AGTCGGTGAAACTCCGACGAAACAGTTTGTCACAACCCCTCGTTTGTTGTCCTCTTCTCCCTCTCTGCCTACGGTTTACCGGGCAGTTCTATTTGACGATATATATATTTCTGCGCACCTGGCGCACCGGCTGCAGCGCGCGCACTGCGCACCGGCCCGTACCTCACTGCGCACTGGTGCGCCGCAACTATGCTCTTAGGTGTTTGTCACATGTCATGTTATCCTACATAAGAGGAGTGTCAACACTGGCACAATAGCTATTAGGCCAGTATTGGCACAAGCAGGTTTTGGTTTCTCATTTTTACATTCCAAACCACCAGTACCTTTGAGCCTCTTTTCCCGGATGTGGATTTCCAAAAACAAACGGCTTGTGGCGCACCCTTTTTCTTTTTTGGCTGGCGCCATCGTTCATTTTGGCCTGGTAGCAATGTTCATCCGAAGAACTCGCGTTGACGCAATTTCGATTCTCAGTTTGCATGGGTGAGGCACTCCTGGTTTAAGTCAAAGCTAATCTCCTTTAAATCGCTCCATCCTCAACGAATGTCTCTGAAGGATGTTGCAATCAAGTTCCGAGTCTTCTGGCCATGTTCCTGATCTCTTTGTGTCTGCAGCTTGACCTTCTAAAGCCTGATCGTCTTCTGACCATGTTCCAGATCTCTTTGTGTCTGCATCTTTCACTTCTAAAGCCTCATCTTCTCCCCATCCAGGATCACTGCCCCCACTGTCATTCTTCCTGTGCAGAACTTTTGCGCTTTTGCGCTTACACCCCCACCTTTAATGACATGACATGGCTACAACATGATCTGGGTTACACAGTTACACTTGTGCTCAAGCATGCCAATTTATCTTGGGTTTGCCCAAGATAAACATTGACAGGTGAAGTGCTGTGCGTGCCTCGGTGCGTATCTATGTCTGTGATGTGTGTGGAAGGAGAGTTAATGGGGGACAATGAGGTTTGTCTTACGGCATATTCACACTAGAATGTTTTTGTACTTGTTAATGAACGTAATTGCAGTCAGATACAACCAATGGGCCTAGCTCAGTCTGCGACGGGAACTCGAACCCAGATGGGTCTAGTTGAGTGAATTTATAATCCCCCCCCTCCCACTTTCCCTAATGCCTATTCAGTTCCCTGTCTGTAGTTTAAAACAACAAAAAGTTGAAAAACATAATAATGCGAGGATCTGAGTCCTCGGCAGGCCTAAGGGGCCCCGGTTGCAGTGGTGCCCGCCCTAAGTGAAGGCGGGCCTAACTTATCACAAAAGGCTTTTGACTGTCAATTTCATATTTGGGGTCCAGGCAGTTGTGACACGCCAGTTAGTTGAGTGAAACACAGGCCGAGCAGCCAAGACATTTCCACGGCCTTCTGGGCCTCTCCGAAACATGCAGGCCCTGGACGAGAAACGCAGCCTCATACACTGACAGTTGGGAGGCCCAACCGAAAGAGGCCCAGTGGCTGCAAAGTAGCACACAGCATCCTGGGGCCTACCGGAAGCTTCTGGGCCCAGGCCAAGTCCAGCCAGGCTGTGAAGCAGGCAGGCTCTTTCCATATAGGAAAGAGCTCGCCACTCTCAGCCTCATTCAGGCACTCGCATGCTAGCGGCACCGCTGCTGGAGCAAAGGCTCGTGGGCTGCTGCTGGCGCTGAGAGGCGAGGTGCAGCACGTGCGGTCGTGCAGGGAAGAAGGGCGCTGCTGAGGGCAGCGCCATAGGCCAGCCACCATAGCTGGTGGGCCTGGACTACAGTGAGGCGCATGAGTGGTCTTCGGGTGTAAGGGAGGAAGACGTGGGTGTGAAGTCAGGGAAGGGTGAAGGATGATGGTGATGATGATGTGAGGGCACATACCTTGTATTGGCGATGGTCTGCATTTGGGCGACATCTTCAAGTACTTCGGGTTGCCGCTGATGTCAACAGTTGCWTTGTCAATTAGTARGCTGATCGTAGCTGTGTAGGAGTAGGCTGGGCGCTGAGCGCCAAATAGGAGTGTGAAGGGACTGGACTCTTGTGTTGTTGGCGGAGAGAGAAAGCTCTCCTTGACATTGGTTTTCAGTACTACGAACCTCCATTGGTGTGTTATTGGTGCAATGCTGCTCTCTGGACACGGTGTGACTATCTGGCTTTCAATGTGATGGTGTAATCTGGAATTGTCATCTCGCTGTTGCTCATTTTCCTTGCAATAATAATAAAACAAATTGCTGTCAGATACATCCAAATGCGGCCGTAAATGCATTCAGACACATTTATGATCTGGTTTGTTGATTTCTCTAATGCAGGCAAATCCCAGAAGGACCACGTATGATGAAGCCGTGTGCCTGCTGGGGCAGTTGGTGGCCCGCTCTATGGTGAGTCTGGGTGATGGCACTTGCAAAGTCCATGATGTGATGAGGGACATGGCACTGGGTATAATTCATGATGAACTGAGGAAAAAGGAGGGACGAAAGAGGTGTGATTCGGCAGATATGCTCACCAAAATGGAGCGACTCTTCCTCTCAGGGGCGGGCTGTTCTCTCAAGGATTTTGCTAAGAGAAACACTCGTCTGAATGCAGTGAAAATCTCTGTGCATAGTGCCGGAATCGATGAACTCCCATCAGAAGTCCGTGTGCCAAATCTGGAGGTGCTGCTGCTCTGCGAGAATCGAGAGTTGGCGCGCTTGCCTCCTTCAACATTCAAATCAATGCAGCTGCTACGGGTTTTGGACTTGAGTGGCTGTAGCTCATTGAAGACCTTGCCTCCTGTATTCAACGTGCTCGTGGAACTCATTGTGCTGAGATTGCGTGACTGTAATAAACTGCCAAACCTTCCGTCCGGGATGGACGCGATGCGTGAGCTGCAGGTTCTCGACCTAAGAGACTGCTGCTCACTTCGACTCCTGCCGTTATCCATTCTAAGGTTGAAAAAACTTCGAGTGTTAGACATCGGCGGGTGCTCACAGTTGAAACCGACAATTCCCCGCTCCCCGAGCTTCATAGATTTCCTGAAATGGTTACCGCCAACGAAAGACGGAGGCAGTCTTTCCCTCCTCGAGATTATCACCATTAAACTAGTCTCGTTGGAGGTTCTATCTGTTCGAGGCCTTGGAAGAGACACCTGCCCTGCCATTCCGCCCTCGATATCTATGCTTCAGGACTTGAGGGTGTTGGATCTGTCCTCGACAAGTTTTATCGAGGTGCCGGAGGAGGTGTGCATGTTGGGCAAACTGACGGAACTCGATCTTCGCAACAGCAATATTAGGCAGTTGCCTGAGGGACTGAATTGCCTTGAGAAGCTTCGCAGGTTGGATCTTTCCCATTGTGCCAGTTTGCAGTACATTCCACGAGGAATTGGGTCCTACAGCACCCTCCGGAGACTGGAGGTTCTCTATCTGCATTGCTGTCCACTCCTGCGCTCTTTACCCGAGCTTCGGAGAGGGTCCTTGCCTGTGCTGAAAAAGCTCCATCTGGGCGGTGGATTGACAGAGTTGCCTGCTGGCATATGCTCACCAGGCGTGCTTCCTGAGTTAAATGTGCTTATGCTGTCCAAATGTGAAATTGAAGTGTTTCCACAGGTGCAACCGGGTGCACTTCAAAAGCTTATGGAGCTGAGAGTAGAGGACTGCGACCAGTTGTTGGAACTTCCAGCATCTCTGGGGCTTCTTCCGGAGCTCCGATGCCTCTCATGTAAAGGCTGCAAACAGATCAGAGGGTTGCCGGATGCAGCACATCCGGGCGCTCCTGGCTTCCCTGGGAACAGGCCTTGTGGTGCGCTTTTCCCCAGAGTGGAGCGACTAGAGATGAGCTCTCCGTCAGACGCACTTGGGATGCTTCCGTCGTTTGGAGAGAATTATATGCCAGACCTAAAATTTGCGGAAATCCGATGTGGAAGGCTGCGTTCGCTTCCTCCGTCAACATCGTCTTGTGCCTGGCTGGTTAGCCTTGATCTTAGGGCATGTGGGCTACTGACTCGTCTACCTGCAGAGCTTGGGCGGAGGGACTCTTTGCCTCGCTTGCAGGAACTGAACCTGACCTACTGCCGCTCCCTGGAGAAGTTGCCTGAATTTCAAGAAGGAGCTCTACCGAAGCTGATCTCCCTGTTGCTTGATGGATGCAAAAAGCTACGAATGCTCCCTGAGTCACTGCAACACCTGCGGTCTCTCAGAATGCTGTCGTTGGAAAATTGCAAGATAAATACACTCCCAGCTGCTGTGAAATGTGGTATGCTGGATGGGCAGATCATTGTCGTCGGGTTCAATGATGTTCAATGAACTTCAATCATCATCATACATCTCAACTGTATGCAATACCTTGCTCATGTCTCTCTCTCTCTCTCTCTCTCTCTCTGTGTTCTCTCTCTCTGTGTGTTCTCTCTCTCTCTCTCTCTCTCTCTCTCTCTCTCTCTCTCTCTCTCTCTCT